CCTACATGTTGCTCGGTCTTCTTTCATGATAGTGTTTACGTTCCAAGAGGGTGCACACTAACAATTTCAGAGATGCTCATGAAAGCTGCAAGGGTTATGTTCTAGCCTTAGAAATCACTCGACGACATTTCTACCATTGTCTTTTTTTGGATCAAAAATGAGTCACAGGGCCAGCCAAGATTTAAGAGGAGGATGACATAAAAGTACATGAATAGCAGAAGGCACAGTTCATTGCAGGCCATTTGTGAAAACTAGACACCACATAACTTAGGTAGGTTTACATGCAAAGGAGGTTAAAAGTTGAAAAAATAATATACATGGAAGCAAATATCACTGTAGAATGGAGACAAAAATAGTATCTCCATTTTTTAATATCTTGCAATACTTTTTAAATACGTCTCTGCTTAATGAGACAAAAAAAAGCATTAATCTCAGAGGTAGCCAAAGAGATGCTGAAGAATGGCCATGGTAAGCTGAGCAGGCAGAAGAAGTTTTCTAAAGCTGTGAGGACATTTCTGACATGTGAGATGTTTCTCCAATGACATGTGGCATCATATAGATTTCTGGCAAACTTGGATAATCATTTTGGTATATAACTAGGAACAGGGTGGCTTGTGAGCAAAGATTGGAGCAGATAATGAGAGGCACACCTGGTAGATGAAAACCAGTCACTCTTGATTTGTGTTTTCTGTCATAGATACCTTTGAATATATGAAAAAGTGAAAGTTATTCCCAGGAAAAAATGGGTATTTGCACATCTCTGTGTTTATTCTTTCAACCATTTTCTCCATGCTGTTTTTCTTCCACTCTCCTTTCCTCTTCATTCCTCCAATAATTATTTATTTGGAGGAGATTCTGTCTGTCCAGGAGCCCATTGGACTCAGGTATCCAGTAAGGAAGGAGATAAACAAGTACCCCCACCTGATGGCATGGATAATCCTAAGATAAGGAGACAGAAAAAGCCCAGGAACACCAATCAACAAGACAACCTTATGGGCCGGCCAGATAGCTCAGTGGACCGAAGCATCTGCTTAGGCAGAGCACGGTGGCTGGGTTTTGATCCCCAGTGTGTTGTGCCGGCCCTGCCCCTTGGGCACTCTGAGACAGCGATTGAAACTGGGCATGGTGGCATGCACCTGTCATCTCAGTGCTCGGTAGGCTGAACGCAGGCAAATCACTATGAGTCTGATCTAATAGTGAGACCCTATAGATCCTGTAGACCCTGCCCTAAATACAGAAAAAAAAAAAAACCCCAAAACCCACCACCACCACCAAAACTCAAGATAACCTCACATCATTATAAGTAACAAACTGTACATACAACCCTACATGTAGTTGTATGGAGTTCATTGGCCCGTCATGGATTTTTGTATTTTTCCTTCCTGTCCTGCAATCAACAACTTCTTTTTTTTTTT